TATATATATATATACAGTGCATTGCATTACACACCACATCATTCAGGAAAAAAGAAATGACACTTTTCTTGGAATTTTCCAGGAAAAAAATTCCTCTCTAATCCCACTATCCTAAAGTGGATCATGCTGCACTAAGCCATGAACCAAGGTCAGGGGACTCAATTATCTTGATTAGTTAACATCTAAAAATAGTCTGGCATGGCGACATACGCAAGTAATCCCAGCACTCTGGGAAGCTGAGGCAGAAAAAGCACAAGTTCAAATCCAGTCTGAGCAATGTAGCAACCTGAGACCTTGTCTCAAAATTTAAAAATAAATAAAGTGGCTGGGGGTAGCTCAGCGCAAAGGCCTTAGGTTCAATCCTCAGTAACAAAAAAAAAAAGGAGGAGGAGAAGGAGGAAGAAGAGGAGGAGGAGGAGGATCCCCACAAAATTCATGCCCTGCATGAGGAAGGGGTAATTAGGCAAAAATCGGGGTACTTAAAAGACAGGGAAATGTCCACAAATAGACATGAATAATTTTGCAATTTACAGGTCATGATGCGCCCTGAATTAGGACTCTGTCATGCACAGCAAAGACATAGCTAGAGAAGAAAGTTTGGACCAGATGACGTCACCTACCACAATGCTAGTGTTGTTTTAGAAAGTACTGTTCCATTATGTCCTTTTTCCTGTCTAGGAACCCATGTTTCAAATTATATTTCAGTTGATGGGAGCAGCTTCTCCAGCAGCTGGAGCTAACTGCTCTGTTAATTATCACTTTGAGGTCAGTCCAGGCCCAGGCTGTGTCTCACAATGTCCCTCTTCCTTTATTCTTGGAAAATGTATTACTGTCTTGAAGCACATGGTGAGGCCTCTTTAGTTTGAAAATAAGATCCTTCTTCTTTTATCGGAATGAAAAAATAAAGGTTGGTATGACTTGAGCCTTTGGCAGCCTTGGCTTATATGTGAATGTAAAATTCGTTTTTCCCTATGGCAGAAATATACCTAATTAATCTGCCTTTCTTTTCTACACAGCAGCTTTTCCGAGAGGGAGATGGAGCGGCACTCATGGTGAACATCTAACTAATGAGGATATTCACTTCCTATATGGGCTTTGCAGCTACCCTATTAGAATATGAAGGAAATGTCAGGGTGAATTCTGCAAGTCTTCCGGTTCATTTATTCACTCAAGAAAGGTATTTCTGCTGGGTGAAGAGGCACAACTGTGAACCCAGCACACTGGGAGGCGAGGCAGAAGCAATCCAAATTCAAGCTCAGCCTAGGCAACTTAGTGACTTAAGGAAACCCTGTCTCAAAATTTAAACTACAATAACAATAAAAAGGGCTGGGGACGTGGCTCAGTGCAAAAGTCCTGAGTTCCTATCCCAATGCCACACACACGCGTACGCACACACACACACGCACACACACACGCGCACGCAGGAGACCAGCTAGGAAGATGGAGGCCTAAATTGGCCCCCTCCGTGAGAACGAAGAGAGGCAGCAGGCAAGCGTGCTGACACGCTGCAGGGAAAAGGAAAAAACACCTGAGATCCTGTTGTTTACCCAGACAACTACCATGGAGGGTGGGAGGCAGATGAGTCCTGTGGAACTCTAATTGCTCAGACCCGTGTCTGACTGAATAAAGCCAAGGTGCACCAGTCACTCAGAGCTTCTCTGTCAAAAGGAGACAAGAGTCCCCAGCCCTCCACATTTCTCCCTGATTCTGTGTCTCTTTTATTTTTATCCTCATCACCTTCAAGCTTTAGGCTGATTAATACACACACGTGTGAGACATATTTCTTATGTTTCCAAAAGTGAGAGGGGCATCTGAGTGCAATATATCATCCATGCCCACCACTAGGTCATCTAGCTAGGGACAGGCCATGCATTTATGAGACTGCTAAAGCACTGGGCAGAATGGTGTGAGATTAAAGATCAGAAGTAAGCATCACAGGAGAACCATGCCAGGGTGGGCGGGAGGGAAGTGAAGGTGGCAGTGACTTTGAGAGGTTGAGGGAGATTCCTAGAAAAAAGGGCTTCATGGTTGTACCTAACAGGACATCGATACTGGTAGGCACAGAAGACATACCAGACCTAGTGAGAGGGGATTCTGGGAAGCTGACAAGGAATATTTTGGCATGTCAAAGCCTGATAAGGACCTGGGCTTCTCAAGAGCAAGGACTCTGTAGAACAGAGAAGACTGACAACCAAAAAACCCTGAGCCCTATGACAATGGGGCTGCTCTGGAGCACCTCGTCAGAGGGACAGGATACCACGAAGGAGATAAAATGACCTGGCTGAAGGGGGAATGACCAAGGCCAGGATGACCAGCTCCAGACTATGGTAAGAGTCCATTGCTGAGGCGAGGGGCAGCACCAAGGGGAGCAAGTATCACCTTTCCTCAGAGAAGGACGAGGAAAGAGAACAAGGCCAGCCTGGCTCCGGTTTCTACTCTTGTAATGATGTGAACAGCAAGGTCAGGTCTGAGGCCATTGGAGTGGTGAAACGAAATAGCCTTGTAAACACTTTGAGGTGGGGGAGAGTCCATTAAAACCAAACTGGGGTATAATGTGATGGGAAGCTGATTTTTGGATCCCCAGAATTAACACCAGTTGGCTGCACTGGTGCTGTCCACCATAGCGCTGATTTCTTGGTCACGTGATTAAATTTTCTTTACTCAGAGGATCATTCTCCACCCAGAAATGTCTTTAACAGAGGGCCAACCAGACTATATAAGCAAAATAATACTAATAATGGCCTTAGTGACTTAAAAAAACACACACACACACACAATTTTCCAAGAGCCTGATGTCCATTTTTGGAGAATTGGCTTATTGGTGCATTTATTACTGTGTTCAAGGAGCATGACCTGATAACTCTGAAAAACTACTCAGGGCCAGGAATTTAGCTCATTGGTGTCGTCACCTGCCTCACAAGCACAAGTTCCTGAGTTTGATCCCTGGTACCAAAAAAAAAAAAAAATCCAGCTCTGCATACACACATATTACCAGATGCTAAGTCTAAGTGGTCTCAATCTAGAGTGCATACCAATGTAGGCTTTTTATGGAGAATGCAGATTCATTGGTTCTGATGGACCCCTGCAATTTGCATCACTACCAAGTTCCCCCAGAAATGCGCTTGCTGGAAAAAGAATACTACCTTCCTCCCAGGTGTGTATGCAGCTCTTTCAGCCAACATGCCTGACCCATTTCAAAGGTTTGATAAATAAGTACAGATTGGACCAGTATCCTCCCAGCCCTAATGTCAGTAAGACACGTATCATGGCTTCTCTGGTACCCAACTATATGATGTCATCCCATGAAAAGTCATAATTTGTGTTATCCCCTGTAAAAAAAAAATAGCAAGTTGCCATATGAGTGTATGCATATTATATATATTTCTCTTGAAGTCAGCAAACTCGGGGGCTTTTTCTCTTGACAAGTCATTAGTTTTCAATTAAATAAATTCTTTCTTCACTTTTTTATTTACTGTATTAGGATTCCATTGACAATTTAAAAAGGAGAACTACTTCAATAAAACTCGGTGTACATATAAATTGTTATATTCATTTCTTTAACTATAAATGAGATTTCTGGATTGTGGGCCCCTCACTATATGATTCTGGGCTTCAAAGGCTGAACTAAATTAAAACCACTTTTGAGTGCTTGCTGATCCTTTCATACTACTGTGACATATTTACTGGATTATTAAACACATTTTTAGATTGAAAACTGGCACCTCAAATTCAATGGTATGACTTCTACGTGATTTTAAATATAGTTTTTTAACCCAGAAATAGTTAAGGGCTTAAAAAAACACACCATGGGGAATCTATGGGAATTTTATATGAAGGTTTTGCTTTAGTGTTTGTTAATATGAATTAATAAAGCATACAATATGCAAATGACTTTTCATATTTTGTCCTAAGATTCCAAGTACATTTTCTTTTAAAGTATCTAGTTAACTCTTAATCCTATTCTTGCTCCTTCTGTCCAAAACATTTTAGACAGAGATAAGTTGGCATACCTCTAAACACATTTAAAAGCTCCAAAATGGATTGCTTAAATCGTTGTATACAAAATTTTATCCAGACTCAGTGTACAGTTACCTTACAAGGAAAATGTCAGCTAGCTATTTTAGAAGCATAACTACTGTCCAGCATTGTCTACACTGGGACTTAGTAACCTTCTGAATATGGAGCGATGTACAATCAAAATGGTGTATATTATAAGTCTTCTGATATCTGTGCCTATCTATGAGCTTTCTACCTTCTTAGGCAGCTATCTCCATATAAGTAGCTATTTTAAACTTTTAATTGAATCTAGTAATCCATCAAGCAGATGTTAGAGCACAGTTTATGAAAACACATGGATGCTTAGACATATATTCCAGACATGAAAGATCTTAGGATTGCTAAAGGAAATATAATGCTTTCATATTTTAAAGTAGTTATTTTTCCTGGATATCTTTTTTCTCGAAACATTAGACCAAGTTGCATTGTTTACAAAAATTTATTCATACAAATTTTACACACTTTATATAACAGTTATCAAAGACCTAGTTATAGATATCATGTGTGTAATAATACTTGGTTAAGATGTTTTTATAATCAGTTGCACACAAAATAAAAGCTTCAAGACTAACATCTAACTAAATTATCACTACATCATAACTCTGCTCCAGTTTAGTAAGGCTCTTGGCATTTCTAAAAAGTATACAAAAGATTAAACTGGGTGATCACTGTAAAATGCTTTGCAACTAGCCACGGGAACACTAAATTAGACTCCATAAATAAAAGGTTAACGAGAGCCCTATTTCACCACTAACAGCTGACACAAATACAGAACACTCTGCCCATTATCCAAGAAACAAATAATTAAGACTAAAATGCAAGCTGATGTGTTGCAGCATTGTAGGGCCACTAAATAGCCATCTGTGATTCGTGGCGATTTAAAAGGCGAAGAAAGGCACTAAAGCTGCAAACTGCATCCTGTGTCACATTGCCTGAGGAGACTGAAGAATTAAAGCAAGACTGATCTTGTGCGCAGGACTCAGGCATAGAGCAAATGCCTCTTTTCTCACTGTTTGCAATGTGATCTCTGGCAGCATCCACCCCGCCTGGGAATGCAAATACAGTTCTGTTTTCTTTCCTGTAAGACTTCATACTGATCAAATCCATGAAGGAAAAGGAAAGGTGTTTTAAACTTTTACACATTAAATGCTTAATTTTTTTTCGCAGAAATTTGTGTTCTGAAATTTGGGAGATTGGCTGGTTTGCCTGTTGCTGCTTGATCTGGTTGCTGGGTGAAGGTTCTTTGTTATAGAGATTGTTCTGAATGTTCAAAAAATTGACAGGAAACAGACGAGCTTTCTTTAGCCAAGAGAAGATACCAGGGTGGGTTGTGGGAGCTTGCTTACCTCGCTCTGGATCACAGATATAAGATAGTACTCATACATATGAAGATGAGGTTTAAATGATTTATCAGTAAAACTGAGCAACATGTGAACACTACACATTCTATTATGACAAAGATTGGTTTTATGAAATAAATTTTACTAAGCAATAAGCCATAATGTAGAAAAATACATTTTACCTACAAACTCAATAAACAAGAAACAAAAGGTTCATATTTAGTGCATAATTACTTAGTGGTCGCTACACAGGAGTTCCTAAGCTTTTACAATAACTGCTTGCATCAAACAACCAAAAGTAAGAAGCATTCACAAGTTTAAGAGAAGCAAATGTAAAAAAAAAAAAGGGTAAACAATACTCAAACATTGCAGGAGTGTAGGAAGGAGGGGTCCCCAGAAAAACCACAAAGGAAAAAGGCAGCTTTTACAAAGCAGGGTTCAAAGGGGAGGGTCCTGGCCACTTCACAAGATGAGAAGCGTGGACAGCACTGAGAAAAACACATTGTACTTTGCATCCATTTCCAATACACAACGCCCCAAATCAGACCGGCAGCGGACCTGCAGAGGACAGGACTTGCCCCAGCCTTCTGGGAGGGCGGAGCAGTCTCAAACTGTCCCTCTCCAGCATCCTCCTCAGCCTTAGCTCTGCCTCTTCCTAGAAACCTCCACGTCCTTCATTTTGTTCCAATTGCCCTAACCTTGGGATTGTTCGTTCCAGGACGAATCCGGAAATACACAAAAAAGAGAGCTTCCTATCCGAGCCTCCCTCCTCTGTACAGTTCCTCAACTCTTCCCCCAGGGAGTGGCCTGAATTCTGGGGAGAAGCACAATTTAAACCGAGCTGTTATTTGATTAGAATTTCCTTCTGGGCTGAGAGTCTGAAGTGAGACAAATACACATCAAAGTAGAATCAAAGAAAGCGAAAGTATCGGCCACCCAGCCCGCGGGACAGTGCCCACTTGAGGGGGTTAGGCTGGGATGGAAGTAGCCTGCCCCAGAGGCCCCTGGGAAAGAATGCCCTCCGGCAATTCCTCAAATCACTACTCAGAATCTCCCTAGAGCAGGGCGTCATTGTTTATGTACAGTAGCAAATGGTCAATATTAACATCTTCAGGCCTGTTGTGGATAAAAATACTATCCTTTTAATTCCAGTTTACAAAAATAGGAGTAATATTCAAAACAATGATTGTCTATTTTTTTCTATTTATTTTATATAAAAACATAAACAGCTCAGGCGAATTTTCAATCCTTGTGCACGCTTTGTTATGAACTGCTCTCTATTATACCTATATATATATATATATATATTCTTAATATGTTTATAAGATAATATCAATAATTGGTCCACAAAGTATATCTGTGCATTCTCTAGTGCTTTGTAAAAACAAAAACAATATTATTATCAAAATATTCATTTAATGGCTTTACTTCATACATAAATACATGTTTGGATAGAACACACGAGCGATGACTGTTCAGTCAGTTTGGAAAACGACTTTTCATTGCGTCAGGGTTGTATACACAGGGTAGCTGGAAACTCATCGCTACAAAAATGCTATTCGGCGTCCTTTGTTTTTAACCCTTTGTTTATACCTTTTCCCCAGGACGGCTGCCAAGTATTTCTTGACAGCCATTTGTTTCCGGTAGCGGCTGTAGCTGTCGGTGAAGATCCCGTCCGAGTGGCGCTTGGAGAGCGGCTCCGAGTCCTCCGCTCCGCCGCCGAGGTCCCCACTGCAAGGAAAGGGAGGAATGGCGTGACCGGGCGGGAGAACCCGGCTGAGGCTTGGGGGGCTGGCGGGCAGGGCCGACTCTCCCTGCGCCCCGGGATTTCTTGGCACGAAGTCGTACAGCGAGAGCCCAGGGCCAGATCCGAGAAACAGGCACGCGATTTCAGCCTTTCTCCATCGCGCCCTGCAAGATCAGGCGGTCCGCGCCTTTGCGATAAATTGTCCTAACTGCTCCTCAAACCCCGACCTACAAAGAGCATAACCAAAGGCTCCTACAGGCCAGTCTGGCTGCTGCGTGGCGTCTGCATCGATCCCTGCACTCCTTCCGCACGCTAAGTTGAAAACGCGATAATACTAATAGAAGTCGACAGGCCCTGGGCAATATTTTTCACCTCATGAATTATTCATTGCGAAAATGTCATCTGTTTCCCAGTCGGCTTTATTAAAACCGTGCCTTCTGCTGAGACAGGCTCCACACGCGCCCCAAATTCAGGTTTTTCCCAACGTGAGCAGGACTGTTTCCATAAGTGTCCCAATGTCGCGTAGTGTTTACTTCGATTGGAATTTATAGTAAAGGCAAAGCCCTTCCCCCAAACACGTCAGGCCTAGAGGAAATTACAGCAAATCCTTCCGCAAACCTTGAAGGTAGTGAATGGCTGGGGGTGGGGGGCTCTTTTAATTCCAAAAGAATCAAAGCCCGGGGTTTGCCTCCCTCTTTCCCTCTCACAGGGTCTCGAGCTCTCCCAGCTTTCCGCCAAATTTTAAGCGTCCCTTCCGAGTCTCCGCCCGCGCCCGGCCCACTGCGC